CGTACGTACGTACTACGTATATATATATATATATATATATATATATATATATATATATATATATATATATATATATATATATATATATATACGTATACACATATACATATATATTACACTCATAACTTTCCAAACGTTACCTAGAACACCCTTGGATTGCTCCCACCGCGAGTTCCATTCTAGTTTCATCTCATGACTGGCCGGTTGCAACTTAATTGCAGAGTTATTTCTCCCAACCTCTCCATCCATATCGTCTCTACTTTTATTTATCACACATGTGGAGGTCTCTGTTGCATAAGGTGCATACTCTCGTTGCCTAACTTGTGCTAAAACTATTGACAGATGTGTGTTAGGTTGTTCTTCACCCACACCATCATTTCCCCCCACCTCTAGCCCTGCGTCAGTGAGACACTTATTGAGGAGTGCAAATAGCACTCTGTTCTCATCCATCTCCCGGCGTATACGTACTGCCCTCGGTCCTCGCATATATTGCAACTAAATTACGATCACGGATTTAAACATCGGAATGATATTTTTTTACTTTTGTAATCAGTTCAAAATCGGCATGAAAATTTGAATGACACCTATTATAAGAATGTGTAATTTTCAGAAGGCGATGCTAAAAGACCTGAAAAAAAAAACATGACCCACCTTATGTCTTACATATCTATTATTTACATCGTAGATGGTATATATTTACGGTAGTAGACATGTCGTTCCGCAATTGGCATCGTATAAAATGTGCAAAAGGCTGGCCCTTACTATTCTCCCCCACCAGGCCGAACCTTAATTCATGCGACAATGCTGGCTGGCGTGGTCTTGTGCACTGTGATGTGTTCATCATCGTCAGAAAGATTTGCTCATCATATATATATGAACCATTTTGTTAAGACTGTATTAATGAAATCCCCCAAAGCCGGAGATTTTCAGGTCGTCATATTCCCAGACGACAGTATATGAAACATTGTATACCTAGTATTAACGTTGTTAAGGCTACAACGTTCAAATCATCTAAAGCTGGAGATGTGCATATCTTTGCGTTGCCCGTTATTACTTCACATTATGCCTACGCTTTTGCATCTTTCGGATTTATGAACCGTATCTCCAGGCATTTGAGGTGCTGTAAAAGAAAAGCATAGAGACTTCGACACTGAAAAGTGCCTAATTGGGATTGGAGTATTTCGTGCTCGACGGTTGTAATTTCGAAAACGAATATGAATACACATTTAAACAAATATATTGCAATGGGCTGTCCAGGCAGATGAATACGCTCTGCATTTCAGATGTAGTCATTTGATTGCGGTGGCGGGGTACACAATGGTTATTGCGCAGGTGTGTCTTTCCACGCGTGCGCAATCCATTTGTTCCATTCCTTCACTCCATAGTTACCCTTCTTCGCATCGCCACGGGTATGATACTTGATGTATAATACCTTCCCAAGTACAGATAGCTTATGTTTATCCATAGATATGGACCTGCTTACCAAGTCGATTATGTCTCTAATTGCTTTAGTTCGCAGGACATTATCATCGGAACACAAATGCTGAAATTGGAATTCTAGAGCTGCAGCATGCAATTTCAAGGCAGATATTACGCCCGGTGCTCGTCCGGGGATCTCCCAACCGTCGATCTCATCGGGATGCGTACACGGCTCTGCGTATAAGTATTCACGCACTGCATCTTTTTTCCTGTCTGAAACGCCGTTCGCCCTGTTTTCCGCTCGGTTTTCCAATTTAAGTCGCTTTTTGTTCGGACTTGAAGTTGTTGTAACATATTCTGTATCGGATCTGTCACTACTATAAGATTTCTGTCGCTTGCCTGGACTAGGTGCAAACAGTAAACCAACTTGCGGATGTATTTTATTCGGATTCATATCGGATACCGGGGAATTATTATGCAAGATATTAATGGAGCCTGGTATGTCATTACGCAAACTAGGTCGATAGTCATAATTGGATGCTTGGCACGATCGTGCATACACAGCAAACTCGCAGTGATCATGGTTTGGATGTGTCCGCGCATGTATATCTGCCGTAAGATTTAGAACATGTGCCTGCATCTCTTTTAAGCTATCGATTTGTGAATGCAGAAGGGCAATCCGATCGTAATGTTCTGTCAGTTCATCATCTAAGGTATACAAAAGTCGTGCTTTTCTTTCACAATAATTTAATTCGGAAATGTCAGACATGGTGCCAGTTCGACAATGTTTGTGTGACTCTATTTGAATGCCTGGAGGACTCTATTTGTATATTTACCTTTGCTTTCAATACGTTGATCATTGGGAGGAATTAAGTCGTCATGACTTGTCCCCCTAGATATCTATACCAACTCCCCCCGCACCCCAACCTCTCACCACAACCTCCCCCCCTTAGTTAGTGCTGTACTTTTTTGCACAGACGCACATCATCACAACCCTCGCAGTCCGTCGGAGTTCGCTGATTTCGCGCGCCATATTGAGAATTTGAGACAGAAACGACGTGCGAAACTGCGAATTCTCTGGGTTCTTCACGGCATTGTTTTGTTTACAAAAAAATAAATATCGAGATAAACTGCCGCGGTCGCGGCGAAGGACGAAAGCGCGCCAACTACTTTAAAAAAAAAAACAACAACAAATATTTGTTGCCCATGCTTTGGACTTGAGATTTGAGAAGTTAAGGATTGGGTGCAGACCTTGGGCGTGCAGGTCAGGACGTCAGGTGAGTGACCTTGACCAAGCCGCGAGCCTCGGGCGTGAGGCCGTCGAGGCCGGAGGTCCGAAATGATGAAGTCCGAACTCAGACAGACAGCGACATTTCTCATTTTGACTTTTGTACAACATTTGACAGTTCACAGTTGACACTCTCATAGACAGTCGACGACTCGACAGTTCGACACTCGACGAGTCTCGACGACCGACGTCTTGTCTGTGACTGCTGGAATCTGGAATTTTGGACTCTCTCTCAATTCAGTAATTCTATGTAGAGTTTTAGTACATATCAATGACATCATAGCCTGCTTACTCCCATGAGTACTGGATAATCCTCTGAGTTACTAAGTACTGGACTATGTACATTTTCAATATTTGGTATCACAGATACTCGGTCTTGTTGTGGGGTTGTCGACTTGTGGCACAAATAAAGACGTAAGCGTAAACAACCAACAAGCCAGCAGGCAGTAGTCATTTTGTCGCTACTAGTAGTAAGTAAATAATTAGTAGCGAGAGTAATCTCACAAGTTCGAATCTCGCAAGTTCGAATCTCGCAAGTTCGAATCTCGCAAAGAGAATAAGAAAAGAAAAATCCCAACAGCCAACCCTCTCGAAGCCTCTGTCGTTTAGCCAGTTCAGCCTCGACCGACCACTCGCCACTACCAGAGAGAGAGAGAGAGAGAGAGCAGAACGCTTCTTAATATTTTCTATAATACATTTATTCATGTGTATAAGTACATGTCTCATTGTAAAACAACAAATATCAAAATGTCTTTTAGGTCTTTTAGCATGTATGTACTTTCTTCAAGAATGGCTCGCGGATATTTATCTTGGTTTCACACACAGACCCATTGGCCATGTCGCCTTCTGTAGTTTCCCGATTCTCATTCTGTACCAGATGATACACAGTAATCCTTGTCATCGATTTAAATTTGTGCTGAAGATGTGAAAACCTCAAATGTTCGGCTAACGCTCTGTATCACCAAGCGGCCTTGTTTCACGAGCATAACCTCTAGACATGAGCTGGTAGTGAAAGCTGTGTGAACATCTTTCTCATGCACTGCATACCTCCAGGAAGGGTATTTTCGAATATACACGAGATGGACCCTGAAACAATAGAAATCTTACTAGGCAAAGTCCAGAGCTGAAAGAAATATCGAAATCTGTCGTTATAACTTTCACAACGTCACGCACGACTAGAATTAACATACTACAGCGCCGTAACTCCCTATATCACGTCATGCGCGACAGGATACTCGATATGCTAATGCTTACACCACGTTCAATTCTATCTCTCCATAGTAAACGTTACAGACGCAAAAGCTGCCGCGTGAATTGGAAATACTATGGGGTAAGTCGCACTTATGATACAACACTAGTTGCATGATACTTCTGATATCGAGTCTGGCGTATGCTTTTGCGGAATAGTATAGTTGGAAACAGACGCAGCATATTTTAATAGTATAGTAAGGCTCCAAAAAAATTACTTTAGTCCGATGCCTATCCCATGAAAGTAATCAGCCGACAACCTTGTTGTCTAACTGTAGGCGAGGGTCAACAGAGTGTGTATATATATTTTTCTTCATAGAGGGATAATTCTGTATAAATATTTAAAGTTGAGCAGTATGTAGCATACATTCTTATTCGCCAGCGGAAACGCTTGTTTATTATTGACCATAGTAGCATCACAGCGTGAGTCAGGTAGTTTTTACTAGTTTTACATCCATTATACACGGGTCAGCCATCGTCCATTTTTGCTCGGTACATACGGACCGTGGCGCCGGTTATTACTTATTGTCTCAGATGTAGTAAATAGTGTTTGGTCTCTTGAGTCTTGACTCTAAATCTACTATTTATGTTCTTTTTAGGAGGGAGGGGTTTTATTACTGTCTATTTTTATATTTTTTATTGTTTGTATAAAAAAAAAACACAAGATGTACCATGTATGACTTTCGATACTTTATTTTATTTTATGAATTTTATATACTTCATGTATGTGGTCAAAAAAAAAATCCACACAGGACATTCTCGACCAATAGATTTTTGTTCTAGAGTCTAGGGTCACGGGACTCAGGCTAACCTCGAAGTTCAGGAGGCTTGGGCGAAAAGTTCGAATAAAAACGTATAACCGTTGCTTTTTAAAAGTACAAAACTTTTAAATGGGACATTTCAATAGTATATTTGAGAATCGTGCACTCCCAACGTTGTCCTTTCGTGTCAAAATTTAAGCCACAAAACCGATGAACAGCTAATCAGAATCCGTAAACTAGATGCCACTTGACATTTGACATTTATCGCCCGAGACCCCGAATCCCCGACCTACTTACTGTCAAAAGTGTCTGCATTCGCTTAGCTTAGTTCACTATATACGTGGTTATATCTACTTCGTACCGTGCCAGGGCCCAGGTGTGCCTTGTTATATTTTACAATGGTGGTCGATTTGACCCAACACCGGCCTGGTAACAAGTTAGATAGCATTAAGAGAAGCTATAACTTTAATTTATTATCGCGAGTTTTAAATCAATGCAAAGTACCCGGCATTAAGCTACACGATCTAGTATACATATACATACATATGC